TAGTGTTAATATGGTATATCTTTCTCCATCCCTTCCCTTTTAATCTATTATTATTATTTTTTAATGGGAGAGAGAGCACAAGCCCGTGTGAGTCAGGGAGGGGCAGAAAGGGGGGGGGGGCAGAGGATCTGAAGCGGCTCCACTCTGACAGCAGTGAGCCCAACACGGGACTCGAAGTCATGAATCGCGAGATCATGACCAGACCTGAAGTCAGACTCTTAACCAACTGAGCCATCAGGCGACCCCCGTTTAATCTGTATTTTCTTTACATTCGAAGTGGCTTTCCTGTAGGTAACACATAGTTAGGTCTCATTTTTGATCCATTCTGACAATCTCTGTCTCTTAATTGGTGGATTTAAACCGATAATGTTTACAGTGACTGTTTGATTTAGTTGGTTTAATATCTGTTGTATTCATTGCTGTTTTTTGTTGTCTTGTTCTTTGTTCCTCTTTTTGTCTTCCATACTTTTTCTGCCTTTGTGCTTCTAATTGAACATTTTATATGATTCCATTTTCTTCCTTTTGTTAGCACACCAATTATACTTCCTCTTTTACTTTTTATTTTAACTTTTTAATTTTTATTTTATTTATTTTTAAATGACAGACCAGGTTTTTGGTTTTTTAAAGTTTATTTATTTTGAGACAGAGAGAGAGAGCGTGCGCGTGTGTGCACGCAAGCAGGGGAGGAGCAGAAAGAGAGGGAGAGAGAGAATCCCAAGCAGGCTCCGTGGTGTGAATGCAGAGCCCGACTCCTGAACCGTGAGGTCATGACCTGAGCCGATGTGAAGAGTCAGATGCTTAACTGACTAAGCCAGCCAGGTGCCTCCCTCTTTCACTTTTTGAAGTGATTGTCCTAGAGTTTCCACTGTACTCTTACAGGTAAAACCCAAGTCCACTTTCAGATATCACTATACCACTCCGTAGATAGTGCATGTACTTATAAAAACAACGTATTCCTGATTCTTCCCTCCTGTCACTTGCATTATTATAGTCATTCACTTTACACGTAAGCATATAAAAGCTCACACACACACACACACACACACACACACACACACCACACACTATTAAATACATTGTTGCTATTATTTTGAAAGACTGTTAATAGATCAAATAAGAGTAAGAAAAATAAGTTGTTTTTTTTTTTTAATAAAAATGTTTATTCATTTTTGAGAGAGAGAGAGAAGGAGAACACAAACAGGAAAGGGGCCGAGCGAGGGAGACACAGAATCCGAAGCAGGCTCCAGGCTCTGAGCTGTCAGCACAGAGCCCGACGCGGGGCTCGAACTCACAAACCTCGAGATCATGACCTGAGCCGAAGTCGATGCTTAACCGACTGAGCCACTCAGGCACCCCCCAAAATAAAAGTTTTTATTTTATCTCCATTTATTCATATTCCATTGCTCTTCCTTTCTTTTATATATGAGTTTCTGATTTACATAATTTTCCTTATCTCTGAAGAACTTTTAGCATTTTTTACAAGGCAGGTCTGCTGGCAACAAATCCTCTCAATTTTTGTCTGAGAAAGTCTTCATTTTCCCTTCATTTCTGAAGGATAATTCAGATTCTAGGTTGGTGGGCTTTTTTCTCTTAGCAGTAAATATTTCACTCTACTCTCTTCTTGTTTGCATGAATTCTGCAAAATTGAAGGTTATTTTTTGCTTTCATATAGGAAAAATGTTTTCTCCTCTGACTTCTTTCAAGGTTTTTTCTTTATCTTTGATTATCTGCAGTTTGATTATGATATGCCTAGGTATAGTTTTGTTTTGTTTTCATTTATCCTGATTGGTGTTCTCTGAGCTGCTGTGGTTTGCTGTCTTTGGGGAAGATTCTGTCATTGTTTCAAGTATTACTTCCAACCTGTCTCCTTCAGGTGTTTCCATTATGCACATACTGCACCTTTTGTGGTTATCTTGCAGTTCTTGGATATTCTGTTCTTTTGTTATTTCAGTCTTTTTCTCTTTGCCTGTCAGTTTCAGAAGTTTCTGTTGTTATATCCTCAAGTTCAAGAGCATTTCGTTGGCTGTGTCCAGTCTGGTCTGATTGAAACCTTGAGGGATATTCTTCATTTCCATTACACTGTAGGTTTTGATCTCTGGCATTTCTTTTTTATTCTTGCATAGAATTTTCATCTCTCTCCTTATGTTCCCATCTGTTCTTGCATGTTGTCTACTTTTTCCATTAAAGCTCTTAGCATATTAATCATAGTTTAAAAAAAACTCCTGGTCTCATAATCCCAACACTCCTGCCGTATGTGAGCGCTTCTGATGTTTGTGCAGTCTCTTCAAACTGTGTTGTCGTTTATGTCTTGTAGTTTTTTGTTGAAGAGTGGACAGGATATGCTGGGTGAAAGGAACTGCAGTGAGCAGACCTTCAGTGAGGTGGTGGTGAGGTGTATAAGGGTGCCTCCCAGTGCTCTGTTAGGTCTCAGTCTTTTAGTAACCTGCGCCCTGGGACCGTGAGCCTCACCAGTGCCTCTCAGTCATCCCTCTCCCCACTTCAGTGGGACTGGATGGCGAGGGTGGGTTGGAGTTGGGTATCTCCTTTCCTCCAGGTAGGTCAGGGTCTGATAAAATAGTTCCTCCTGTGGGCAGACCTTGTAAAGAATGCCCTGGTATATTTCATAATGGTTATTCTCCTTATCCTCCCTTGGGAGCATGGGGGGATTTTTCTCTGATATTCACTGTGTAGTATCTCCTAGGGCTCCTGGAGATAGAACTCACAAGCGTGGGGACCCCCCGGTGATGGGGCCCTCCTGGAGTTTTTACCTTTTAGACTCACCCACGCTGAGCCCCCAGCTCTTCATCAGGTAGCAGTTCAGGTTCTCCTCCCTGGGCGCTGGCTCCTGCCTAGGGTTCTGCTCAGATGGGTTGTTAATTCTCTCTGTATCTATCTGGTCACTGCAGTTCAGGGGGCAGTGGTCTGCCCTGGGACATCACATCTCTGATGGTGTAAGAATAGTTGCTGATACTTCAGTTTGCTCAGGTTTTTACTTGTTAGGACAAAATGGTGACTTGTAAACTCATTACATGCTGGACCAGAAGCCAGAAGTTCTCAGTGTCACAATTTAAAGTATACAGTCCAGTGGCATTTAGTACATTTGCAGTGTGGTGTAACCACCGCTTCTGTCTACTTCCAAAATGTTTTCATTACCCCAGAGGAAAATTTATACCCATTAGATGGTTTCTTCCTATTCCCTTCTCCCCTGAGTCCTTGGTAACCACTAAGTTACTTTCCATCTCTGGATTTAGCTTTTCTGAATATTTCATGTAAATAGAACTGTACCATATGTGACCTTTTATTACATCAGGCTTCGTCCACATTGTAGCATGTGTTAGTACCCCATCTCTTTTTAATGGCTAAATAATATTCCACCACATTTTTTAAAAGTTTATTTATTTTTGGGAGGGGCAGAGAGAGAGAGAGGGAGACACAGAATCCAAAGCAGGCACCAGGCTCTGAGCTGTTAGCACAGAGCCCGACGTGGGGCTTGAACTTACGAACGGTGAGATCATGACCTGAGCTCAAGTCAGACATTTAAACCACCCAGCCA